TTTCAGAATCCCCCCCCCGCCCCCCCCCCTCTGGAAAAGTACTCCCTCTTTTTTTCCTCACACGCAGAGTCCTTTGATGCAAACAAAACTTGGATGAAGGTTTGCCCAAAAGGGATATGATGATCTGAATAATCAATAGTAAGCATGCCAAGACAAAATAATCTCCTTTGTATTTCTCTTCTGTTCCTATCTTCCCACTCTCAACCTCACCCTTCTCAAAAATCTTTTTCCGAATGTCCTCATTTCATTTCCCCCTTTGTCTTCTTTTCCTGCTTTCATTTCTTTTCTTTATCTTATTTTCCTTTTCTATTATTTTTTACACTACCTCTTGATCCCCTGTTTCTCTTGATCTGTCCCTTCCTGTCTCTAGTTGTTACAGGTTGCCTTGCAGAAACCCCAGACGCATGTGCCAGGCTGGATTTTACTACAGCCGCCTAGTGTGTCAATGTATCCCCAACTACCTGAGGTCTGAGTGGAATTAAGAAACCAAAGGCAGGAGCAGGACTGCACACCTCCTATTTATTGGGCTGTTTAGTCTGGAAACAAAAGGTCAGAAAGGTGAGAATGTCTCTAGTCAAAAGGGCAGGAAGTGGACCTACATATTTACATGTGATGACTTACAACAGACTGCAAGTACCACTGCAAGAAGCAGTGTTGCTTCTCTATCAACAAAAGGAGGATTAAAGCGCTTCCCTGATCAAAAAGACCCAAGCAGCCAGCCACACAGAGTGAAAAGCAGTCAAAAGGAGCCAAATGTGGAGAGGCATCTGACTCTCTGGGACTGTTGTCTTCTTAACATTGTTTAGAACATGATCCCAGCTGGAAACAAACGATTAAACCCAGAGACTAGCTAAAAGTACAACAGTGAACATGGACCAATCAGACTGAGCCAGCATTCATCCTTGCGACGTGTTCGAGCAAGAAAGCCAGCCACCAACCTGCAGTAGAGGCACCGCTCACACTTGCGTGAAATGGAAAGTGGAATAAGATAATAACAGAGTAGACTCTGTGCTTTTTGAAAAAATAAAAAAAGCTTCAGCCAACTTCAAACTTTGGCATCCCTGAGAGACGAGATACTTGAGGGGCTGAGGGAAATACTTGGGATGCGACTGAACGGTCCCTGGGGCCTTATAGTCATACTTTACTTTGAAGAAAGGGTTTTGTTTTTTTTAATTAGACTGATGATAAAACTGTATTTTATATGAAAAAAAGCTCTGGTGCTGTTTCAGTAGAGGTTACATACCAGACCCTGTTAAATCAAATGATAACTGAAACACTCCCAACTGTTATTATATTTACCAGTTAATACTTGCCTCTACTGCAGCGCTGCTTTTTGAAGATTTCTCTCATGCATGGTTGAATCCAGTCGTGACTGAAGTTAACATTTGGGTACAGTTCTGGTTGTCTACTAATTTAACTTCACATGCTCCAAATAATGTTATTTGTACATATTTAAATTTTGTCATATTTAAAAAAAGTGATTTGTAACATTCTGTATTTAAGTCACTCATAACTAAATATTGTTGTAGAACAAAGCAATTTACATGTCTTTTTACTTTTTTCTACCCTGCAAAATATTCTTTCTAATAGGTTATTTTGACACATAGAACGCTCTTTTAAAAACAACATATATTTATTGCATTGTGGTAATTATTGCAGTTTTGAGCTATATAGAGATAGAGAACTTTATCATGCTTTAATATTTAAAAGTAGTTCTGAAGTAGAGATTTAAAGCCCTGTCTGTCTAATATGTCTGTGCTGTAGATGTGCTAATTTAATAATTTTTTTTGTTTGCTTTTAAATTAAAACAAATTTTTCTAAAGCCAAGGAAACACAGTAGGTATAATATGTATTTTATTGCACAATGTTCTGCTACATTGCTTTCCATTTTCTGCATCTAAATATACATAAATATAATACATATATACAATAATAATTGACTTAATGAGTTGGAAGATTGTTACTGGTGCCTTTAAAAGCCATAATGCACGAAAAATGCATTATTTAGTCACACACACACAGACACCTGTGGGGGAAATTTGACTCTTTATGTGGTCTCTCATTTCTTCTTCTCCCTCCTCTTCAGCCTTCTCACTCTTACTATGTCTGGGTTAAAGACAACAAACAGTATTAAGTCATGGAAAACAAAGATATCGGCTTTCTGTCTGGCCTTCGTGACCGTCAGCCTCTTAAATGGGCTCAGGACTTGTGTGTCTGATTTCTCCATCTGTCTACATTATTATCTGATTGCGGTGATTAACAGTAGTTACTAACATTAAACACAGAAAGCCTCGGCTACATAAACGCAGGTATTTGTACAGTTTTCACAATTTTGAAAACTGGAAACCATGGACATCACTATCTAGTCCATCTAGATATCTCTGACATGACCAATTCAATTCAATACATTTCAGTTCATTTGAATTCAATTCAGTTTATTTAAAGGCAAATCACAACATCAGTTGTCTCAAGGCACTTTGTACTATAAGGTAAAGACTCCCACAATAATACAAAGAAAAACAACCCTCAACAGTCATATGTGACCTCCTATGAGAACTGTTTTGGCAACAGTGGGAAGGAAAAACTCCCTTGTAACAGGAAGGAACCTCTGGCGGAACCAGACTCAGGGAGGGGCGGCCATCGGCAATGGGTTGGGGAAAGACAGGACAAAGACATGCTGTGGAAGACAGCCAGAGATTAATAATAACTAATGACTAATTGCACAGTGGTGTATAAACACATAGTAATAATAATAAATAATAATACATTTTATTTGAGGGCGCCTTTCAGAAACCCAAGGTCACCTTACAAAAAACACAATTAATAAAAGGAACAGTAGTCATAAAATACATAAAATAAGTTAAAATTACAAAACAGAGCGTGACAACAGATAAAATCAGCATTAAAGCGAATAAGCCAGTTTAAACAGGTATGTTTTGAGCTGTGTCTTAAATACTGAGAGGGAGTCAATATTTCTTAGTGCAGGAGGAAGAGAGTTCCAGAGCCGGGGAGCAGAGCAACTGAAAGCTCTGTTCCCCATAGTGATAAGACGTGAGGACGGAACAGTAAGATGAATAGCAGATGATGATCTGAGAGGGCGGGAAACAGTGGTGATATGGAGCAGGTCACACAAATATGAAGGAGCAGATTTATAGTGAACGAAAAGAAAAAAGTGAGTGAGGAGTGAGAAACACTTAGTGCATCATGTGAAGCTCCCAGCAGTCTAGACCTATTACAGCATAACTAAGAGACTATTCAGGGTCACCTGATGCAGATTCATTTTTTTTGTTGTTGTTGTCCATCTGTTATCAAAGTTTATGAATGCTTTGCCTCTTATGAACTCTTCTCTTCAGAGCTGGGTTGGATGATAACATGCCTACCTCCTTAATGCATTTTTTCTTTACCATGGAAAGGATCCCGTGATCATCACTGCCATAGTCTTTACTGGTAACATATATACCCTTAATGGTCCCATAATCTCACAGATAGAATTTTGGTTTTGCATTGAGAGTCCTTTTGAATCCAAATTCCAACGCTGGGAGTCTTCTTGAGATGTTTGACTCCTTAATTGGCAAATTAATAACACAGAAATAGCTCTTTTCCTCTACTTTAGATGTGACTAGCATCAAATTTCCAATTGCCACTTTATTAGGAGCAACTATCCAACTACTTGTTAACACAAACCTCTAAGTGGCCAGTCACAACAACTGAAAGCCATGTCGATGGTCAAGATGCCTGCTGAAAGATGAAAGGTGATTTAAAGGACAATGTGGCACTGTTGTTGGTGCCAGGCATGCTCTGTTTCAGAAACTGCTGACCTGCTGGGATTTTCCCACACAACCAACTCTAGAGTTGACAGAGAAATTTCAGAAAAAAATAAAATATCCAGTCAGCAACAGTTCTCTGGACAATGCCTTGTTGATGCCAGAGATCAGAGAATGGCAAAGCGACTTTAAGTTCATAGGATGGTGACAGAAACTCAACCAACCACTTACAAATGCACAAGACTTCAAACCTCGAGGCAGCAGCAGAACTCCTCACTGGGTGCCATTCCTGCCAGCTATCAGACCACCGTTCATACAGGCTCAACAAAACTGGACATTAACAGACTGGAAAACCTGTCTGGCCCGATGAGTGTCCATTTCTGCTGTGATATTCAGATGGTAGGCTTAGCATCAACAACTTAAAACCATGGATCTATTTTGCCTTGTATCAACAGTTCATGGTGCTGTTGTTGATGTAACGGTTATAGGTAATATTTTCTTGATACACTTTGAGACCCTGATTATTGCTGCTGACCATGTCTGTTCCTTTATGACCACAGTATACCCATCTTTTGATGGCTGCTTATAAAAGGATAACACATCATGTTGTCATTATCATCTCAAACTGGTTTTGTGAACATGAGTTCACTGTATCCCTACAGTTAGTAGTTACCAAGAGAGCACCATGGTGATTTACATCATGGATGTGTTGTGTAACTCCATCATGTCAATATGGACCAAAACCTTTGAGGAATGTTTCCAGCTCGTTGAATATGTGCCATTAAGAATTAGGACAAATCCGAAGGCAGAAGTTCAACCCACCACTAGAAGGTTGTACCAAATAAACATTTAGTAAGTTTAGGTCAACAGCTAAATGTGAAATCAAATTTAGCTTGAAATGTATATAATTATTGTAGATCAGGGTCATATCACTATAAGCCAATATCTTACTAGGCTGTTCTGACAATGACAGTCTGCAATATGATTTATTGCACAGCAATGTTACGTACCACTCTGTAGAAACACACCTTTGAAACACATGAAAATATTTGAAACTTTAATATTAACATGGGCTTAAAGGCATGCAAAAAGGTAAAAATGATACTATAATTCTATTTGTCTGTGTCATATTTTTATCCAGAGCAGTAAAGTATTTCATTTCATAATTGTGGAGTAAGCAGTTCTTTCCTCTAATTTAAAGGCAATATGTCTCACATAATCACCAGCAGAATCAACACAATTTGAAATAAGTTTTATTTTTTTTCTTCAAGAACAAAATATAAACCCAGCTCCAACATCCCCTTATATAATTAGCCATTGAAACTCTTCAAATATTTACAAAAGATAGAAAATAAAACATAAATAAATATAACCTGCTGCTGCTTGAGAAAAGACTGGTTTGGCCTCCCAGTAACACTTTAAACTGTTTATTCCTGCCGCTTATGTTTCTCTCTGAAGGAGAAGATTCATCCAAATAAAGAAATCAAAAATGTCTCTATGGTTTAAAAAAAAAATTACAATTACATGATTAAATAGAAGCCAGAGGGTCAGTTCCTGAACTGTCAGGGAATTACAAACAAACAAACGATGATAAAGAACCAAATCCAACAATAAATTAGTGGGATACTGGCAAATTTTGGTGGGTCTCAGTTATTGCTTGGTTCAGTTTTCCAGATATGATTGAAAATCAAGCAATTTTCTTTATATCATACAGTGTTAAAGAAAACGAGCAGCTTTTTATGTTGCAAAAAGAGTAAAGAATATTGAATTCACTGCCAAAAGAAAACCAAAACCAAACTGTTAACTGATTAAGAGATTGGTGAGCACTGACTCCTACTGGTTGCTCATGGTAAGGACAAGCAGCTTAGACCTAATCAACCACATTTTTTTTAATAAGAAATACAATTAGTATTTAAACAAGAAATATTCAATAAAAACTTCTCAAAGAGGACTTTGATACCGCAATCTTACAACTTTAGAGTTTAGACTCGGTCTAAATTAGCATGTTAAATCAGCATGAACTTGCAAAGGATTCTTTCACTGTATATTCCCACCACTACCAGTCAAGGGTGGGACAAATTAACTGAGAAATTTTATGAGAAGAGTGCAAAAAGCAAAGAATATTTTATGGCTTACTGTGAAAAATATGTATCCTTATTACAGCAACAGCCTTGTCAGTTTATTTGTTTTTTCACAGCTTTCAACAGCTTTCATTGTCTTTAACCCACAATGCTTAGCGTCCAAACCAGGTATAACAGCTGGAAAACAGCATGGCAATTCCAGAGCAGGCACTTCAGTATCTCTCTTTCTCACAAACTGACTGGGATTCAGTTCAGTAGCTGTTTGCACTGATTGGCTATTAGATCAGGCTGCTCTCGGGCCTTACTCTTTAGATACACCCCACAGCATAAATCCGGTAAGCCTGTCAGTTCTTGCTGTGCGTCTCCAGATGCATGAGTCTTTGCACAGAGTAACAAGCAAGCCATTCAGAGTGCACTAATCTGCTGAGGTACAATCCATCCTTGGGCTCCATGTAGGTCCACAGGTGTTGTATCCCAAGCCTCAGTTCTTTTCACTTCAATTAAACACGATGCCTTAACGTTACAAAGAGGAGGAAAGAACAAGAGAGAAAATTATGTTAGAATCATAAAATAATGTTATGGTACAACATCCTGGCCCGCCCGCCCGCACGCACACACATGTGGGGACCTGATATGTTTAATATGCTGCTGAGAATATAGCCCAGAAGAAGCGTATAGTATAGCTTTTATTTTGGAAAGAGCCATTTCTCTGTA